CAGTGCTCAAAAGTCAGGTCCAGTTCCTCCTGTTCTGGTTCCGCAGGGTGCCCAGCCAGTCACAGGTCTGAGAGAGTCAGAAACCCCCTCTTCCTTTCCTTCCAGTCACCACCTTAGCAAGGGTAAAGGGCAAGAGTTGACTTCCTTCCCGTCCTAAGCAGCCACCTCACCTCAAAGCAGCTCTGAGTTTCAGCTGGACAGAATCTTCCCCCTTCTTTCCTTGGCTTGAACAAGTGGTCCCAGGATTCCATGGACCGAGGCTGTCTTTGCTCCTCCTCCCCTGTGGGACAGAGACTGCGTGGAGGGAGGACCATGTGAGAACAGCCATGTCACAATTTCACTTTCCTTTTCCCCCTTTCTCAGGAGCTCTGGAAGAACAGAGGGTGGGGTCAATTGGCAGTTTCTCTTGAAACTTTCGGTGGTAAAAAATCTAAGCCATGTTCAGGGCCTCTGGGAGTGCAGGGGAGGTGACAGGAGGAGGCGGTGGACTCAGCAGCAGGTAAGCCATTTTCGCCTCTCTTTGTTCCTTGTCTCTGGTAAGGTCAGTGTTTTGGTTTGTTACCTATGGCTGCCCAGACTCAGCCACAAGTGTTTGAAAGAAGGAGATGAGAAGGAAGTTAAGAAGCCAGCAAGCAGTTTTTACTGTGGTAGGTTAGCTGTTGGGAACCCTAGGCTAACCCTGACTCACATCACCTCCTCATTTCCCTGTGTCTGTCATGTAGGTGGGTTGGCAAAGTGTGGTCTTCTGGCCTTGAGAGCTCTAGGGGGAGTGGCCAGTTTACGGTGACCTCTGACCCTCCCACTTTTCTCCTGGGTCTCCCTAATCCCAACTCCAAAAGATGACTCTGAAAAAGGATACTTTTAGAAAACCAAAATCTAATCAGATGGCTGTTTGTTGCCAACGTCTTTGCAGTCTGGGGACAGTTCTGCACTGAGGCCATCTGTCTGTTTTAAGTCAGTTCAGGATCCTTTGATCTTTCAGCTGGAGGAAGCGGAAGGAGATGAGACCAATGACTGATGCAAGTAGACGGGGCGTGACTGCTACTCCTCACATTCCAGTTTTTAAAAATATTTTATTGTTTTTGTTTTATGTGTATGAGTATATTACCTGCATGTATATAAGTGCACCCATGTCATGCAATGCCCGTCGAGGTCAGAAGAAGGCGTCTGATCCCCTGAAACTGGATGGTTGCTAGCCACCATGTGAGTGCTGGGAATCAAACCTGGATCCTTGCAAGACAGTCAGTGCTCTTAACCGCTGAGCCATCTCTCCATCCCCCACATTTCTTTTTTTAAAAAATATTTTATTTATTATTTTATGCTGGGCGTGGTAGTGCATGCCTTTAGTCCCAGCACTCAGGAGGCAGAGGCAAGGCCAGCCTGGTCTGCATAGTGAGTTCCAGGCCAGTTGGGGCTACAAGGAGACCCTGTCTCAAAAGACAAAAAAAAAAAAGAAAATATTTTATTTTTATTTTAAGTCTATGAGTATGTTGTCTACATATATGTAAGTGCGCCCATGTCATGCAATGCCTGTGGAAGTCAGAAAAGGGTGTGAGATCCCCTGGAACTGGAGTTACAGACAGTTGTTAGCCTCATGTAGGTGCTAAGAACCAAACCTGGGTCCTCTGCAAGAGCAACTAGTATTCTTCACTGCTTGAGCCATCTCTCCAGCCCCACTCTTAACATTTCTTATTCTGTGTTTGAGTTACATATCTGGTTAGAAAAGGATGAAAATTATATTTTTAAAAAATGAGAGGGAAATAGAGAGATGGCTCAGTGGTGAAGAGCACCGACTGCTCTTGCAGTACCCAGGTTCGGTTCCCAGCACTGAAATGGCAGCTAAACTGACAGTAACTCCAGTTCCAGGGGATCTGATACCTTCTTCTGGCCTTCGTGGGCATTGTACGATACAGGTGCCCTTACAAGCACGCAGGAAATACACTTATACATATAAAATAGCAATAAATCAATCAAAAACTAATTTAAAAAATAAGACAGAAGTGTCTGGAGCTCATCATCCTCTCGCTGGGACTCAGTCAAGGCTGTTTGGTCCTGCTGTGGCCCCAGGAAAGTGTCATTTCCTCTTTGAAATTTTGTGGAATGCAGAAGAGACACCAACAGTCAGGCCCTGCCTCTTTGGGTGGCTTTAACTTCTGGTTTAATTTCTGTAACCAATACAAGTCTGTTTAGTGATCTGTCCTCAGCATGTGCGTTTTGGTAGTTTATGTCTTTGAAGAAATTTGGTCGTTATTCTGTTGGAGAATCTTCAGGCACAGGATTGGTTACAACAGTTTGTTCTTTCCAGTGTCTGTGGAATTCAGGGTGCTGACAGGCTTTCATTTCTGATGTTAGTAACATGTTTTGTTGTTTTGGTCCTTGCTAGCCTGATTAGACATTAGCAACTTTGTTGATGTTTTCAAAGAATCAGTTTTGGTTTGAGTTTAATGTTCTTCTAATTCAGTTTCATCAATTTCCACTTTAATTTGTATTGATTTTTGTGTGTGTGTGTCTTTTTTTTTTTTTTTAGAAGAAGCATTTCATTACAGCTTTAACATATTCAGTGTCCTAGTTTGTTCTTCATTGCTGTGACAAAATATTCTGACCACTACCAACTTGGGGAGGAAAGGGTTTATTTGTCTTACATCT